TTTTTGGTGGAACCGGGGATTGACTCAGGCCCTTGCGCTTGCCAGGGAAGTGCTTATTCCACTGAGCCATCTCCCCGGCCTGGAAAAAAAAACTTCTAACAAAAAACTAGTACTCAGAACATCTAGTAAGCAGGAGCCAGGCACAGTGGCACCCAAGTATAATCTGTGTATACACAGATACACCAAGTGGCTTCTAAAGAAATGGTAGCCATATAAAGCGCCAAACTCAGTGGCCTGAGCTCTAGACTCCAGCCCAAACACACTGCAGGCTCAAAGAATCCAAGTGTCTTTCTAGGCATCTGGAAAATACCTACTTTCTAGGTACCCCTTGTGACTGGACGTACCTGGAAGAGCACCTTCCATGACAGATCCCTCAAACACCCCCTTGATGAACTGAGGCCTGTTGTCATTCTGATCTGTCACTGTGATCACGATCTCCATGGGATCCTCCACTGCGATCCCGTTTGATGACACAGCATGAGATAAGAGCTGCAAGAGTGAAGTGAGGGTGACTTGGGTCCTGGTGAGGAAGGAGTGTGGCGAGGGGGTCCTACCAGAGCAGTGAGTGCTATCTGGCCTCTATTCTTTCCTCCTGTGAGACCCCAGTGCTTGACTTCAGTGAGACTATGACGAGTTAAGACCAATGGCCTGGAGGGAACACCCACCGGGTCACACATCCCATTTTCCATACAGAAGCCTGGGGTATCAGGACTAGAAACAAAGATAGATGCCTAAAATACTATTTTACTTGGGCTGATGTTTGCCCTGGCCACTCCAGCCAAGCGCTTCATTAAGATTTTTATGCATTTGGCACCAATATGTTGCCTCCCTCTTCCTTAAGCTCATGTTTTCACCTAGTGCCAGCAATGGTTCTGGTTCCCCAGTACTATTATCTTCTTAAAGAACTTCCAGTTCCCAGAACAGACTCACGGGTAACACATGAAGACTCACTACTTTTTTGGAGACAGGGTTTCACTATGTAGTTCAGGCTGCCCTTGAACTCACTTTGTAGTCCAGGCTGGCCTCACACTCACAGTGATCCTCCTGCCTCAGTGTCCCGAGTGCTGGCATTACACGTATGTAGCCACCTCACTCAGTCTTTATCATTTTTAATCAGGAAAAAATGCCAAATTTTCCCAGGTTCTATCATTTCACCTTATCAAGAGGCCAGGAGATGTCAGGTAAAACTTCTCACATACCCATGGCATCTGTTCTGGGAATCCAATGGACTGGCCTAAAAACTTCTGGACAGATGTTACACCATGGTCAGCAAGCTTCCAAGATACTCACAGTGTAGTTGGCAATGTTTTCTCTATCCAGAGGCTCTGTCACCATCAGCCATCCTGTTTCTCTTTCAATAATAAACACACCAACAGGGGGTGTGTCGGCTCCTTGGCCAGTGATGCTATAGAAAACCTTAGTTTCTTTGTCCCTGTTGGATTTGATCTGAAAGAGCAGAAAGAAAGAGAATTGGCAAGATCCTGACATTGCACCATTTTCCTTTCTGCTCCTCAAGCCTTCTCTGCCAAATTCCTCACAGAGAAATACAAAACTTGCTTCTCAAATAAATAAATAAAAGGGGGGGGGCAGAGAGATAGCTCAATAAAATAAGCACTTGCCTGACAAGTGCAAGGTCCTGAGTTCAATCCCCAGTATCGCAAAAAAAAAAGAAAGAAAGAAAGAAAGAAAGAAAAAAAGAAAACTTGCTTCTCTACCTGAACCAGCCTTTTAGGAAATGGGCCTTTTTCATTTTCTGAGCAGCTGATGGGTGGGATAACCCAGTCTCTTTTCTGCCTTCTGAGACCATGGTGGAAGTTGGGAAATTTGATCACTTCTAGCTGTGTTCCAGGGGAATTGTCCTGAAAAGGAGATGAAGAACAAATGAGCAAACTCAAGAGATAACACAAGTCTAAGAATCCAACTTATGTGGTCAGCATCTCAAACCTTCTGAGGGCAGTCAGGGTTTTAACAACACATGCTTTTCTCAACAACAAATGATTTATATCCTCCAAAATGAACAGCCAAGACAGAAAACAATGCACCTCTTTGCCCGTTAGGAAGCTGAATGTCCCCTGGAGCAGCACCATTGCAAAGAGCTCAAACACACCCTTAATCCTAATGCCCTTGATCCTACACTGCACCATGAATCAATCCTAGAGTTGGGCCAGCCAATAGCACAGTGGATTGAAACACCTGCAAGTAGGCACAGGGGCTGGGGCTTCAATCCTCAGGTTTGCTGTGCCAGCCCTACCCCTAGGGCCTGCTGAGACAGCAATTAAGACTGGGTGTGGTGGCATGTGCCTGTAATTCCAGCTCTTGGGAGGCTTGAGCAGGTGGATCAATATGAGTCCGATTTAGTAGTGAGACCCTGAACACTCTGTAGACCCTTCTCTAAAATATACAAAAAAAAAAAAAAAAAATCCTAGAGTCCCATACTCTTGATCCAGCCACCTCTGGAAAAGCCCCACTTATAACAACATGAGGTTTTGGGGTGACATCCAGACATAAGCCATAACACTCCTTATATCATATCTAGAAGGATTCCATTCATTCTAACAGAAACTTGGGGTCAGAATAATAAAAATAAACCTTTGGAAACTTGAATAGTTTTTAGCATAAAGATAACTTTGTACTCACTCAGGGAAATAACAGTTGAAGATGGAAGGAAAATATCTTTCAAATTATTATTTAAGTGTTTTAGAATGATTAGTGGTAACAGTAAAATTTCTACAGAAAATTTCCATCTCCCTCATACCACATAAGAATACTCACTCTTAGTCACTGATTACTGCTTGCCAAGTTTCACTGAAGACACAGAAGAAAGGTATGAGATGTGACCAGGTATCATCCCAGAACCCTTTCCCAATGCTGAACCCTGGCCACGTGTGCACATACACCACACATGTTCAGACACACACCTACATACCCATCTCTGCCCTCCCCATCCTCCTGCAGAGGCAGCCAACCCAGGTCAAAGGCTGGGCTGCCTGGCTTTGAATCTCTCCTTATTCAGCACAGAGCAATTCTCCCCACCAGTGTCCTTGTGTCTAAATGGGGGTGATGGCATTAGTACTTTTGTAGAGTGGTCTTAGGATTAAATGAGTTACTGACATTGGGTGTAAAGTACAGCCACGGTAAACAAACAGGCCTTCACAAATGAATTCAAACCTACCTGCTATATTGACAGAGAAAGCAAAGATCATACTTTGCTGATAGCAGGGTTACAGAATTTTTTTTTTTTAAGACTACATTTTTCTAAGAAGCTATACTTGCACCTAGGTGTGGCCAGGAGGCTAGATTCTGACTAATGTGATATAAGTGGAACTGTTGCTTCCACAAAGGTTATATAGATTCAATGAAATCCCAGTCAAAATATCATTAGTACAGCTCACAGATCTAGAGACAACATTCCTAAAATTCATCTAGAATCAGAGAAGACCTAGAATAGCAAGAGCTATCCTGAGCAACAAAGGAAAGGCAGGAGGCATCACAATCCCTGACTTGAAATGATACTTCAAAGCTACTATGATAAAATCAGCATGCTACTGGCCAAAAAATGGACCTGAAGATCAAGGAAACGGATTGGAAGATACAGACATAACTACAAACACACTCAGTCACCTTATCTTTGACAAAGGGGCCAACAGGTTCATTGAAAGAAAATAGCCTCTGGGGGGCCAAGGAGATGGCTCAGTGGAATAAGTGCTTCCCAGGCAAGTGCAAGGGCCTGAGTTCAATCCCCGGTTCCACAAAAAAAAAA